TCCAAATATTATAGTTGAGGATTTTCCAGAGGCTTTTGTTAATGATTTCTAATTAATTTTATTGTGATCAAAGAACATAGTTTGTACAACTTGAATTCCTTTGAATTTATTGAGACTTTATAGTTTAGAACATGGTGTATCTCAGGAAATACATATATTTTTAATTTATTTAAGTTCTGGGGTACATGTGCAGATCTTGCAGGATTATTACATAGATATATACATGCCATGGTGGTTTGCTGCTTCCATCCCCCCATCACCCACATTAGGTATTTCTCCTAATACTATCCTTCCCCAATCTCCTAGGCCCTTCTATCCCTCTCCTAGTCTCCCCCGCTCCCCAACAGACCCCAGTGTGTGATACTCCCCTCCCTGTGTCCATGTGTTCTCATTGTTCAACACCCACTTATGAGTGAGAACATGTGGTGTTTGGTTTTCTGTTCCTATGTCAGTTTGCTGAGATTGATGGTTTCCAGATTCATCCATATCCCTGCAAAGGACATGAACTCATCCTTTTTTAATGGCTGCATTTATTTTTATCCAGTCTATCTTTGATAGACATTTGAGTTGGTTCCAAGTCTTTGCTATTGTAAACAGTGCTGCAATGAACATGTGTGCATGCATCTTTATAATAGAGTGATTTGTAATCCTTTGGATATATACCCAGTAATAGGATTGCTGGGTCAAATGGAATTTCTATTTCCAGATCCTTGAGGAATTGCCACACTGTCTCCACAATAGCTGAACTAATTTACACTCCCACCAACAATGTAAAAGTGTTCCTATTTCCCCATGTCCTCTCAGTGTCTGTTGTCTTCAGATTTTTTAGTGATTGCCATTCTAACTGGTGTGAGATGGTATCTCAATGTGGTTTGGATGTGCATTTCTCTAATGGCCAGTGATGATGAGCATTTTTTCATATGTTTTTTGGCCACTTAAATACCTTCTTTTGAAAAGTTTCTGTTCATATCTTTCACCCACTTTTTGATGGGTTTGTTGGCTTTTTTCTTGTATATTTGTTTTAGTTCTTTATAGATTCTGGATATTAGCCCTTTGTCAGATGGGTAGCTTGCAAACATTTTTTCCCATTCTGTTGGTTGTGGGTTCACTCTAATCACTGTTTATTTTGCTGTGCAGAAGCTTTTAAGTTTAATTAGTTCCCATTTGTCTGTTTTGGCTTTTGTTGCCAATGCTTTTGGTGTTTTAGTCATGAAGTCCTTGCCTATGCCTATGTCCTGAAAGGTATTGCCTAGGTTTTCTTCTAGGGGTTTTATGGTGCTAGGTCTTATATTTAAGTCTTTAATCCGTCTGGAGTTAATTTTTGTATAAGCTGTAAGGAAGCGGTCCAGTTTCTGCTTTCTGCATATGGCTAGCCAGTTTCCCCAACACCATTTATTAAACAGGGAATCCTTTCCCCATTGCTTGTTTTTGTCAGGTTTGTCAAAGATCAGGTTGTTATAGATGTGTGGCATTACTTCTGAGGCCTCTGTTCTGTGTCATTGGTCTAAATCTCTGTTTTGATACCAGTACCATGCTGTTTTGATTACTGTAGCCTTGTAGTATAGTTTGAAGTCCGGTAGCATGATGCATCCAGCTTTGTTCTTTTTGGTTTGGATTGTTTTGGCTATGCATTCTCTCTTTTGGTTTCATATGAAGTTTAAGGTGTTTTTTTTCAGTTCTGTGAAAAAGGTCACTGGTAGTTTGATGGGGATAGCATTGAATCTCTAAATTACTTTGGGCAGTATGGCCATTTTCACGATATTGATTCTTCCTAACCATGAACATGGAATGTTTTTCCATCTGTTTGTGTCCTCTCTGATTTCCTTGAGCAGTGGGTTGTAGTTCTCCTTGAAGAGGTCCTTTGCATTCCTTGTTAGCTATATTCCTAGGTATTTTGTTCTCTTTGCAGCAATTGTGAATGGGAGTTCACTCATGATTTGGCTCTGTTAGTCTGTTACTGGTATATAGGAATGCTTGTGATTTCTGCACATTGAATTTGTATCCTGAGACTTTGCTGAAGTTGCTTAGCAGCTTAAGGAGATGTTGGGCTGAGACGATGGGGTCTTCTAGATATACAATCATGTCGTCTGCAAATAGAGACAGTTTGACTTCCTCTTTTCCTAATTGAATACCCCATATTTCTTTTTCTTATCAGGAAATACTTTGTATGCACTGGGAAAGAATATGTTTTCTATTTTGTTGGGTGGCGTGTTCTATGAATGTCCATTTGGGCATGTTAGTTGATGGCAATATTCAAGACTTCCATATGCTGATTCCGTTTACAGTAGTCCCCATTTATCCATAGTTTGGTGTCTGAGGTTTCAGTTACCCATGGTCAACCATGCTCTGAAAATATTATAGTATTTTGCAAGAGACACCACCTTCGTAAAGCTTTTATTACAGTAGATTGTTTCAATTGTACTATTTTGTTATTAGTTGTTGTTAGTGTCTTACTGTGCCTAATTTATAAGTCTGACAGCATAGGGATGTATATGTAGGAAAAATACTATAGATAGGGTTTGGTACTATCCAAGATTTCAGGCTTCCACTGGGGGTCTTGGAACATGACTCTTGCAGATAAGGGGGAACTATTGTATTTATCCTATCAAGTATTGATAGAGAGGCATTGAAACTTACAGCTATAATTGTGGATTTGTTTATCGCCCTTCTGTCAGTTTTTGCTCGTGTATAATTGTGGATCTGTTTATCTCCCTTCTGTCAGTTTTTGCTCATGTATAATTGTGGATCTGTTTATCTCCCTTCTGTCAGTTTTTGCTCATGTATAATTGTGGATCTGTTTATCTCCCTTCTGTCAGATTTGCTCGTGTATTCATACAGTCTTGCTGGATCGACTCGTTTTCACATGAAATGAACTTGTCTGTTCCTGGCAGTATTTTCTGCTCCATAATCTTACTTATTTGATATTAATGTAGCCACTTCAACTTTCTTTGGATTAGCATTAACTTGGTATATCTTTTTCAGTCCTTTTATGTTTAACATACCTATGTCTGTATCTATAAAGCATTGTTTGTAGTTGAGTTTTGCTTTTTTATCCATCTGATAATTTCTGCCTTTTAATTTAGGTATTTGGACCATTTATATATAACGTTATTGATATAATTTGGTTCAAATATGTAATTTTGCTGTTTGTTTCCTATTTTTCCCATCTATTCTTTTTTTAACCTTTTCCTCTTTTTCTCATTTGTTTTGATTATTTTTATGATTCCATTCCATTTCATTTCCTTGGTTGCTGTAATTAAAAAAAATAGTAGTTGCTTTGTCTTTGATAATGTACTATACCTTTAACTTATCATAGTCTGTCTTCAAGTGATATGCTGCTCCTGTATGGTATAAGAACTTTATCTTGTTTATTTTCATTTCTCCCTTTTCTTCCTCTCTGTAGCATTGTCATACATTTGGCTTATACTTGTTATAAACCTCAAATATATTATTTTAAAAAATAGTTATCTTCAGTTACATGTATGGTGGGATACTTAAGGTTGTCCCACACCCCTCTGATGCTCTTTTCTTTTTCACAGATTCTTTCCTCTGTTTCAAATTTATATAGAAAATTGCTTCACGTTCACCAAACTCTACTTCTACAGTTTAATCTTTAATCTTATCCAGCCTTTTTTTTAATCTTACATATTGTAGTTTTCATCTGTAGAAGTTTATTTTGGATCTTTTTTATATCTTTGTTGTGTCTGACTTTTTGAGCATGTGAAGCACTGTTACAATAATCACTTTTAATACCCTCGTCTGCTGTTTTTTACATCTGTGTCTGTTCTGGGTTGATTTTGACTGACAGCATTTTGTTCTAATTATGGGTTGTGTTTTTCTGCTTATTTGCCTGATTTGCCTGTCTGATCATCATTGATTAGATACTAAGTTTTACAGACTACCTTGTTGAGTGCTAGACATTTTTGAATTTCTCTAAATATTCTTGAGCTTTGTTCTGGAATACGGTTAATTGGAAACCATTTGATCCTTTTAACTTTTAAGTTTTTTAGGTGGGCCTAGAGCAGTATTTAGTCTAGGGCATGTTATTTCCCACTAATGAAGCAAGACTCTTAATACTGTGTCTAGTGTTTTTTGAATTATGTGATTTCCTAGTCTGGCTAGTGGGACTGGACACGCAGTTCCCAGGAATGCCAAATATTCTACCTCTGATCCTTTGGGTTAGTTCTTTTCCTGACTGCAGGTAGTTCCTTGCTGAGTACTCAAGGGGAAGCCTCTGCAGTTCTCTGGGATTTTCTTCTGGTTCAGCTTTCTCTTCTTTGGTACTCTGTTCTGTGAACTCTAGCTGCCTTGGAATTCCTGGACTCCAGGCTATGTCTCTTTTGCTCAGAACTCCTTCAGGCTGTGCCTGAGGTCACTGTCCTATACTCTAGCCTTGACTTATTTCTTAAGGTAGTAAGCTAGGGAAATCTGACCTTGGCTGGAGGTTTATTTTTTGTGTGAGGCTTCTATAGTATAGGTTTGGCACATGATATCAATTTTAAGCTAGTTTATATTATATGACTATGTATTATGGACTGACTTTACAAAAAAGCACATGCTTGTTGCTCTTATTCTTTGAATGAAGTTAAATACATCATTTTATAGTTTCTTAGATTATTAACAACTTATCATGTCAAATGAGAAGAGTTTCCAAAGATGTATAGAATTGTGGCCTGGTTCTAGTTTTTTGTTTTTTTCCTTTTTAAAATTACGAGTATGGGGATATTAAATAAGAAGAGCTGATAAACACTATTTATCTCATTGGGATTTTTGATCAGTTACTAAAATTGCCATAGGCAGTTGCGGCAGTGTAACAGAGAACTTTAAACTATCAAGTATGGTAGAACGTTGAATTTCATTTTCAGGTATTACAATCACGATCTCCTATTGGAGCTGAATGCTTTGTTGAGGTCAGTTAAAATAATGTTTGACTCTTGATGTTATTGCTTGCATTGCACCTATAATTCATATGCTGTTGATCTGTCCTGTTCCAACAGCAGTGCGGAGCATGAGTCCATTCACATCCTGAGTGTCGATGAGAAGAACAAGCTGGGAGCCAAGATTATCAAAGCAGAGATGATGGGGAATATGGTAGGACTCTGAGATGTTGTTTTGGAGAATGGCGATTAAATATTTAACTTCTTGTGAGTAATTTTAGAAGTTCTTTAGCAGTGTGGATATAGCACACTGTGAAAATACCTGTTGGTTATCGATTCCTTAAAGAAATTCTCAGCCTGGCTTGGTGCCCACGCCTGTAATCCCAGCACTTAGGGAGGCCAACAAGGGTGGATCACTTGAGGTCAGGCGTTCGAGACCAGCCTGGCCAAAATGGTGAAACCCTGTCTCTACTAAAAATACAAACATTAGCCAGGTATGGTGATGCATGACTGTCATTCCACCTACTGGGAAGGCTGAGACGGGTGAATTGCTTGAATCTGGGAGGCAGAGATTGCAGTGAGCCAAGATCATGCCATTGCACTCCAGCCTGGATGACAAAGCAAGACTGTGTCTCAAAAAAGAAAGAAAGAAAAATTTTTGAACCTTTCTGTGAACAGTACTATCTGCCTACTTCCAAGTAAATGATCTCCCTTCTCTGTCAGATCTCTGAAATTTAAAATCCTAAGGAACTGCGTGCTTTTACATGTCTTTTTACTTGGATGTTTGCTGTATTCCAGCATTTCTAACTCACTGAGCATATTTAAGGGAAATAAAGATAGCACTTTTTCTCCCTCATTTTTGTCATGTATTGTTAAGACCGTTTATTACTTCTCCAAATTACTTAGGAACCTAAAAAAGGAGGATTAAGTCATTTATTCAAGTTTTAAGTCAGTGTGCTGTGCCTGATACTGTGTTAGATGCTTTGTGTAGGCTAACTCATTTAATTCCTTTAGCAAAGTCTGATTTCAGACTGACCTCAGAATTGTAAGAAGTAGGAGTGATTTGGTAGGAGCTGCATTTATCCATTCATCCATTCATTTCTTATATGGCACATGCATGTGAGAATAATATACAGTGAGATGTATGTGTTAAAGTGCTCACGGCAGAACGGCACAGCCAGATACTGCACGTCTTGGTAGAATAGATTCAGTCATGGTCATATGTATGCAGTCATCTCAAACCCAAGTTCAGTGGGTCTTTTAGTAATCTTATGTTTTGGTAAACTATTAGTACAAGACTGTGGTAGAACGAGTGGTAACCAAACAAGATATTTCTGTTGTTATTGGTTAGTTACGTCTAATAAAGAGCATATCTTACCCATGCTGCTCTGTCGTTTTGAATCTGTTCCCTGGAAACACTGAGCTTCTACTCGTCCTAGAAATTGGTAAGGGAAATAAACCAAAAACAGTAATAACGGTAGCAAGAAAGGACACTTTGAGCCTTGAAAGTACAGAGCAATTAAAGAAGTGAAAGAGGTCACTGAGGTGAGAGGGTAAAATGTGTGTTCTCGTGTTCAGGAAGAACACTGGTGGAGCTTCTTTGCATGTCACATAAATCTCCTTATTTGATTTATTCATGCTTCATTGCTTTACATGGCAGTTGTTTTATATAAATTTATATAGCTTTCCTCCAGTAAAAATGAAATATATTCAGAATGTGTCATCTAAATTATAAACAAGAAGGTAATATTTTCAATCTCATGATAGCTTTTTCATTACCAATAACTGAAGTTGAAAGTATTGAACTTTTATCATATTTAGGAATTATTAAAAATGTCATTAAGGTTATGTATTTCCTTCATCTGTTTCCTCCAAAATATGTGTTCTTGTAATTATTTATCTTTGAAGCATAAACACATGTCACAGGTATTCAAGAAGTTTGTAACTGAGATAAGTTCATTAGAAAGTAATATACTAGGCCGTGAGTTGGTAATTGAAATTAGGTGATGGCTACATGAGTGTTTTGTTATGCTATTTTTTCTTCTCTTGTGTAAATTTGAATATTTTGTCATAAAGAATTAAACTACATGTCACACATTTTACTTGTTTTTCTTTTTGAAGGAATTAGCCGAACAACTTAAAGCTCAACTTGAAAAGGCAAATAAATTCAAAGAAACTGTAACGCAGTTACCAAAAAACTCTGGGGTAGAGGTAAGTAATAAAAGTTTGTTTGGAGAATGTAATTACCTTGTTTGACCTTATTACTGGGCAGTGGTAACATTTTAATTCAATTTTTATTTTATTTTATTTTGAGACAGTGTCTTGCTCAGTTGCATAGGCTGGAGTGCAGTAGTGTGATCTCGGCTCACTGCAACCTCTGTCTCCCAGGTTCAACAAATTCTCATGCCTCAGCCTTCTGAGTAGCTGGGACTACAGGTGTGGGCCACCACACCTGGCTAGTTTTGTATTTTTAGTAGAGATGGGTTTCACCATGTTGGCCATGCTGGTCTTGAACTGCTGACTTCAAGTGATCCACCTGCCTTGGCCTCCCAAAGTGCTGGCATTGCAGATGTTAGCCACAGTGTCCAGGGGGCAGTGTGAGATTTTAATCTGAGATGTGTCTCTGTATGTATCTGTGTGTTTATCTGTATGTATGTTTGTTTTTAAAAAATTACTTTTCTATGTATTCTCTTACATCCTATCAGTGTGCCCTGGTGGAAAAAAGCCTCAGGCTGAGACCAAGGGGACCTACTTTTATTCTGGACTGTGCTGCTTACTTATTGCTTCTGTATGAGTCAAACTGTTCCTTAATTTGCCTCCTTCAGAATGAGAGACTTGAATTAGATATTCATTTTATATAAAACAAATTACTTTGGTCTATGATTGGTTCATGTATCTGTTAGTGAACAACACAAATAACAACACCTACCTGCATGGAACTTTCATTTGGGTAGGGATGGAAACAATAAATTATAAAAATGATAAACAAATTGAAAAATAATACAGTATATCAGAAAATTATCCTATGGCAGGGAAGTGGCAGTTTTGAGTGACAGGTGGGTTTGTCGCTTGGCCAATTCTCATTGAAAAGTATAAGGCCTTTTATGTAAGGACCTGTAGTTTGTGAAAGAGTGAATTTCTGTGTATTTTGAGAGAAGAGCGTTGCAGTCAAAGGGAACAGAGATTTAAAGGCCCAAAGATGGAAATATATCTGTTGTACAGGAAGAATGGCAAGGAGACCAGTGTTGCTGGAGTGGAATGAATGACAGAGGGAAGTAGGAGATACAGGTTAGAGAGACTGTAGGCAGCCAGATCATGTTAAGCTTTGAAGTCTTAGTAAGGAGCTGGGCTTTTTTTTCTGACTGAGATGGTGAGAAACTATTAAATGGTTTTGAGCAGAAAACATATTTTGACTGGACCGTTCTTGATTCTTTATTAAGAATGGTTTGTAGAAGCTGAAGTAGAGGTGAGCTTTTGTAATAATGCATGTAAGAAATGATAGTGGCTTTGACCAAGATAGATGGTAGCTATGGAGGTGGTTAGAAGTGATTGCATTTTGTATATGTATAAATACTTTCTGTATGTGTTTTGAAAGAAAAGCTGACAGAATTTTTATTATCGTTTAGGTAGGGGGTGGGTAATAGAATAAAGAGAGTAGGCAAAGAGGACTCCAAGGCTTTTAGCTGGAGCAGCTGAAAGAATAGCCATTATTTGATGAGTAACTTGTTCAGGTGTACAACTAGTAAGTGTAGGGCAAGGATTTCAACCCATGAAAGTACTTGTATGAACGTGATACCTCTTTTTCATGCCAAAGGACAAGGTCAGCAGCTCTTTTGGAGGATCAGGTTTGGGATATAATGAAGTTGAAAACTGATTTTAAAGGGCTGTTCCTAAAGATTAATTTGCATAATTTACTGTCAGTGTGGAAGGAGATGAGAATGTATAAAGTCAACTTCCCTAGAAGTTTCTTCAGGCTAACATCATTCATGACTTAAATAATACTATAGAGAATATGTTTATGACTTAGATAATACTATGGAGAATATGTTTGTGAAAATATATTCTATAGAGTATATGTTTATGAAAATGGCTATTTACCCTAAGTTGTGGTACCTCATATTTTTTAAGTTTCTCACATAGACTGAAGAATTGAAAGTGAGAAATTACTAGTAGGATTCAAAAGTAGGGACTGGGAGGATAGCTAGAACTAGGTGTACTGTGAAATCCATCTTACACAATTTTTTCAGGTGTCCTTGTGGTTAACTGATTTTGTACTCTGAAACTTTACGTGGTTTCTTCGTGCTAACTGTAAGTACCAGATCTTCCTGCAGCAGCGCCTTCCACAGTACGGCCCCGTTTTCCAGGCCTGCCTCCAAGACTGTCTTACACGTAACAAATGTTCTTTCACATTTACCTATGCTGTTTAGTACTGTGCCAGGCCTCACCTTTCTTCATTATGGCTTTTTTCTAGTCCTCTTGGACAGTGGCAACATTTTCCATTTTTGAAACCTCAGAGACTTTTTTTCTTTTTAAGATTTTATGTTTAGAGCAGTGGTAGGTTCACAGCAGAATTGAGAGGAAGGTACACAGATTTCCCATATACTTCCTGCCCCTACCTGAGCATAGCCTCCCCCATCATCAGTAGTCCCTACCAGAGTAGTTCATTTGTTATAGTTGATGAACTTGCATTGACATATTATAACACCCAAAGTCCGTAGTTTACATTAAGGTCCTCTCTTGGTTTTGTACATTCTGTTGGTTTGAAAAAAATGTGTGATGACATGTATCTACCATTATAGTATCATACAGAGTATTTTCACTGCGCTGAATCCTCTGTGCTCCAGCTGTTCATCCCTTCCTACCCCTTAACCCCTGGCAACCTCTGATCTTTTCAGTCTCCATAGTTTTGGCATTTCCAGAATGTTACATAATTGAAATCATACAGTATATAGCATTTTCAGATTGGCTTCTTTTACTTAGTAATATGTATTTAAGATTCCTCTCTGTCTTTCTGTGGTTTGATAGCTCATTTCTTTTTAGTGCTGAATAATATTCTATGGTGTGTAGGTGCCACATTTTACTTATTCATTCACAAGCTTCCTGGGAGCAGTGCTGAGGCTTCTAGAGTGACTTCCAGTCAATGGGACAAAGAAACCACTGTGCCATTTTGATCTTTTGACAATCCATCTCTGCCTTTGTCCCTCTCTTTAAATATTAGTCCTTTTAAAGAAAATACAATATGAATCATAAGTACTCTTTCATTTTACTTAAGTTGTCATATATTCTAGAATAGAAAAACCAGTGTTTCTGATAATCAGGTTTTAGAATGTCTGAAGGGCATTAAATATTTGTGAGTATAGCAAGGAATACTTAGTTTTATTTTAATTAGTATATTTATTAAATTTATTAGCTTAAATAACCTACCCTTAAGGGTTAAATAATCTTGGTAAATTTAGCAAAATCACTCAATTATTTTAAGAAATACATCAGACTAAAATTCTTTAATGCCATTTTTATGGTTAGCTTATGTAAGGGTTATTGTCTTGTAAGGTTTATTGCCGAGTTTAAAATGAGGAAACTGAGGCCAGCACAAAAAGATTAAATGCCAATTTATTTGGCTCCTGGGCAAGGTTCTATGGTCCTGGGGAAAGAGGCCAGAGAAGTCACACCTGACTCCTCTGGGCATGGGGTTTTATAGGGAGTGAAGGCATTTGATTGGCTGTGGAGAAACAGGATGTGGACGTGGCAAGCTTCTATAGGTAGGTAGGCGGGATTTCCGGACGGGGCAATGTGCTATTGGGCAGGTTTTGGCAGGGCTTTCCAAGGGCGGGCTAGGTGCCGAGTGCAGAGGGGATTTCCAAGGGTGGGGTTGAGTGCTGAGTGCAGAGGGGATTTCCAAGGCGGAGCTAGATGATGGGCATATTCTGGTGGTGTAATTTTCAGGCGGGGAGAGGGATGGGCATGTCCAAGCTCCCGAGGCAACCAGCCTTACAGCTTAATTAAATTATAAAATTTTAAGCTGTTACTAGTTTTATATAGCTTATTCACTTAAGTGTTTCAAATACCTTCTAAAAACAGACACACAAATTTTAAAAAGTTATTTATAAATGAATGCAACTGCCATTAAGAATGTTTTATACCAAAAAAGGTTGTAGAGCTATTACTATACTTTTACCTAAACGCCATATAAAAGATTGTTTGATTTATTTCTTAATCTCAGAGTTGCAAAGTTACTTAACCATCTAAGGGAAATGCTGTTTTTTGCAGGTTAATGTCACTCCATAGGAGGGATCTTTGTACAATTAACAGATTTGGAATAATGGATCAGAAATTTGATATTACTGTATGAGACCCTAACTATTAAGAATAGACCTTGCTGTTTTATGCTAGCATATGGACGCACGTGTGCGCGTGCATACACATACACAAACTCTCTCTCCCCCTCCTCTCTCACAGAAGAATAGACCGGAGCCTGAGATTTTTGTGTTATTTCTTGTAGTGAAGCTTTGCTGACCCTGTCAAATGAATTGACCATTTTCTTCTCATCTTTTGACTAAGGTTTGCCATGTCCCGTTAGCTTTCATTTCATACGCCTCTTAAAGTGAAGTTTTTTTTTTCCAGTACCCTGTGCAGTTGTTTAATGTAAAATCAGTTTTCAAAGTATCTTAGGCAAGCAAAAGGAGCCACTTTGCTTGAAATGGTTGAGGTGGTTTGTGGCTTGAAACAGAAGGAAGAAATTTGAAGCAGAAATTCTGTTAAATAACATTTTTTCTATTGTTTTGAGGGTATGATAGAATAATTGACAGGCTATGTCTCATCCCTTGTGCACATGACTCTGATATTACTCATGTATTTTAAATTTCTAACCCCTTGTAGCTTTGAGCAGTGGACTTTAGTACTCAGTAGATTAGTATTCAAAGTATCATACCAAGTAGAATTTCTGTTTGTTAGTCTCTTTTGGGAACAGTATAGCCCTTTGAAGCTTCAAACAGAAAGTTTTTTTTTTTTCCTAAGGATTCTTTGATCAGAATGGCGTATTTTTATCTTCTCTTCAGAGAAGGTTCAAGTACACTTGCACATCTGGTTCAAGCTTTACTAAGTATATATATAAAACAAATCTCTGCCAACCATTCTGAAAGGATTCTCTACTGCCACTAAAGTAATTTATGCCATCAGATCCAGGGCCTTGATTACCTTTCAAAGTGGTTTTG